GGGTGCCTTCCCTGAGGGAGCGCAAGGCCTGCTCCCCTCCAAAGAGGCCACTTTTGCGGCCACCTGGACGGAGCTGCTTGATGGGAAGCCCCCAAAGACCTAGGAGAATTTGCCCAATTGGGTCTTGTCATTCCCCCGGGCCTGGCCGCCTCTGAGAACCAGAAGTGTCCATTTCCTTTGCCCTCCCTTTTCATTCTCCCGTGCCTGGGTGGGAGGAGGGAATGGGGTGGGGGATGGGATGCTCAGCCTGGGGGTGGGGGGAGACATCAATCATGCTGCCATGAATTTTGACATTTCCCACCCTCCTGTTTCACTCTAGGGTTCAAAGGAGCACCTTCTACCGCACAGAGTGATGGAGAAGAGAGCAAGGCTTCCCCATTTCTCACTTGGGGGGCCATGGGCTGGGGTGACCCTTCCTGCCTCTCCCATCAGACGCTCTTCTCCAATAAAATGTTTGCCTGAGCAGTCTCTGCCTCCCTGGTCTTTCAGAAGCTCCCTGGGTGCCAGTCTGCAGGTTTCCAGGAAAGGCTGGGTAGGACCCCCATCTGGAGTATGGGCTCTGGGGTAAAAGCTTTGTTTCTACTACTGCTCTACTACTGTTCTGCACTTTACTCAACCTTTGCCCTTGAAGACTTTGGGAACCTGCAGCCAATCCATTCAGGATCTGGCCNTTCCCCAATAAAAGCCAATTAAAAACCAAATATTTGTAGCTGTGTCTCTTATTAAAATCATTAAAAATTATCCCTATTTAAAATTCACCCTAGGTCAGTCCCGCTTGCTGAAAAAGCCATGTCTTGAGGGCGCGGCGGAAGGTTAGGAGATCCGGAATCGTCCGGATCTCGGGGGGTAGCTCGTTCCAGAGGGTGGGGGATAGAGTCATTGTTAGAACCAGCAGTTAGCTGGAACCTATTTCCACACTTACCTGAAGAAGCCAAAGAGGTTGGCCACCAACGGTTCACTTATAACAACTGGATTTGCAATCAGGAATTTTGCAAGTGGAGCAGTTAGAGGAACAAGAAAAAGTAATGTGTCATTTTTGCTTAATGGTCCAGAGGCAAAAAGCTCCACCTTAGCATGTCAACAAACACCCCAAGAAGTGGAGAGCATATTTTATTTTACTAACTTTTATGCCACCCATCTCACTAATACAGCAACTCTGGTTGGGTTACATTGTAATAAAAATTAAAAAGTTCTAAAAAGAAATGAAACTAGAATAAAGAGATTAAAAGTGAAGAACCAAGGTGATGGACAGCCTGGGGGTAAGAATCTTGTCTACCCCGTGAGATACACCCAGGGTACCCTACCCTGTCAGGACCCCAGGCTGAGCAGCTAAGCCAGGTTTTCAGGCTCTTCCAGAAGGCCAGGATTGTGTTTGTGTTTGTGTGTTTGTGTGTGTGGGGGGAAATCTCACCTCTGATGGTAGAATATTCTTGGGGGGGGTACAGCAGAAAAGGCTCTTCTCCTGGAGCCCAGCAGCAGAAATTCTTTGGCCAATGGGACCCAAATTAGGCTGCTTCCCCTGGAAGGAGAGGGGCCAATTAGTCCCATTGTGGAGAGGCAGTTGCTCAGATACCCCAGAACTTCACTACATACACCCCCCATGCTTGTTATGGGATGTTACCTATCTGCATGTTTCTTCAGCAGATCAGGATGAAATACCAGGAAATTCTTACATTACTTTTATTACAAAGTAACAGGACCTTGCAAGGATGAATCCACCTCCCTCTCTTCATCTTCCTGAAAGGGAAGAAAGTCCTTAGGTCTGAGACCCTTCCTCAAATTTCATTTCTGCCTTGGACACATTTTATTTTTCATCTGATCCTCACTTCTCTTGAGGCTCTTCCTCCCGTTTCCTCTTGTAGCCCATTCTGTCACCAAGGAGATGCACCAGCAAATGGGTAATCTGAGGCACAACTGGAAGAGATGCTCCCAAGAGAAGACAAAAGCAAAGGAAAAGGGGGGTGGGAGTTGGCTGGATCAGTGGTCCAAGGAAGGGAAAGGAAAGAGTGGATCTGCTGCCAGTGGATCACCTCTGGTTGGAGGTGAACAAGGAAGAGGCAAAGAGCAGAGCTGCTGCTTCCCTGGGTCTTCTTCCCCTAGACTCCAGATTGAGCTGGGCAGAATCACCAGCAGGAACCAAGAGAGAAGAGGGTGGGAGGGAGGCAGAGAGAGAGAGAGAGAGAGACAGAGACAGACAGACAGAGACAGAGATGGAGAAAGAGATAGAGACAGAGACAGCCTGGGTGAGTTGAAGTCTCCAACGCAGATTGTCAGGAGTCTCAAAGGAGCTCCTGGGGGCATCTCAGACCCATCATATTTTAGTGCTTAGTAGGGGTATCAAGGGTTTGGGGTGACACACTGTCTGATTTAGTTGATTATGGGAATGCAGTGGACATTATGTACCTTGACTTCAGCAAAACATTTGAGAAATATCAATGAAATCCTGGTGAAGAAGAAGAAGGCAACCTGTGGCTGGCCTACACTACCATTACATGGATAGACCCTATGGAGAGTTCAAATCCAACAAGGGCTTATTAAGGGCTCCAAATCTGATTGACAGGAAGTGATGAATTGCAGGGCTTGTGCTGTTTGACATATTTATAATTAATGAATTATAATTAATAACTAATTAAGTTAGTTTTGGAGTTAGAAATTTGTAATCAGTTTTGGACATGATACGAAATGGGGGGTTGTAAAATACTTCAGAGGGCAGAATATAGATTTCAAAGGATCTTTAAAAGCTGGAATAATGGGCAAAAATCAGGATGATTAATTTCAACAGGGATAAATGCAAAGTCCAACATTTGTGTAGAAAGAAGAATCAAAGGCATTAATGCAGGATGGCAGGTAGTATAGAAAACCAATTCCCATAATCAACTAAATCAGACAGTGTATCAAAAAATATCAGGTTGATTTCTGCCCAGCTCCATCTGGAGTCTTGGGGGAGAAGACCCAGGGAAGCAGCAGCTCTGCTCTTTGCCTCTTCCTTGTTCACCCGCAACCAGATCCTCCTGGCAGCAGATCCAGTCTTTCCTTTCCTTTCCTTTCCTTGGACCACTGATCCAGCCAAACCCCCCCCCCCTTTTCTTTTCCTTTTATCTTCTCTTGTGAGCATCTGTTCCAGTTGTGCCTCAGATTACCCATTTGCTGGTGCACCTCCCTGGTGACAGAATGGGCTACAAGAGGAAACAGGAGGAAGACCCTCAAGAGAAGTGAGCATCAGATGAAAAAAACTGTGTCCAAGTTAGAAATGAAATTTGAGGAAGGGTCTGAGACCTTTCAGGAAGATGAAAAGAGGGAAATGGATTCAGTTTTATAAGGTTCTCTTGCTGTAATTTTGTAATAAAAGTAATGTAAGTTCTAAATACATCAGCATTTCATTACATTTCATCACTTGTTCCTGATGTGCTGAAGCCAAATGCAGCTGGGTAACATCCCATAATAAGCATTGGGGGTGCACTTAGTGCAGCTGGGGTATGTGCAGAACTGCCTCACCCCAATGGGACTAATTGGCCCCCCTCCTTCCAGTGGAAGCAGCCTAATTTGGATCCCATTGGCCAAAGAATTTCTGCTGCTTGGCTCCAGGAGAGCTGTACCACCACCCCCAAGAATATTCTACCATCGGAGGTGAGATTCACCCCCCCCAGACACACAAGAACACAATCCTGGCCTTCTGGAAGAGCCTGAAAACCTGGCTCAGTTGCTCACCCTGGGGTCCTGACAGGATAGGGTACCCTGGGGGTGTCTCATGGGGTAGAGAAGATTCTTAGCCCCAGAATGTCCATCACCTGGGTTCTTCAATTTTAATCTCTTTATTCTGGTTTCATTTCTTTTTAGCACTTTTAAACTTTTGTTACAATGTAAGCCACCCAGAGTTGCTGTATTAGTGAGATGGGTGGCATAAAAACTTATCAAAATTAAATAAGCTCTCAATTCTGGGGTTGTTTTTTGACATGCTAAGGTGGAGCTTTTTGCCTCTGGACCTTTAAGCAAAAATGCCACTTTACTTTTTCTTGTTCCTCTATTGGCCCCAATTGCAAAATTCCTGATTGCAAATCCAGTTGTTATAACTGAACGGTTTGTGGCCAACCTCTTTGGTTTCTTCAGGTAAGTGTGGAAATAGTTTCTAGCTAATTGCTGAGCCTGTCTCGGGGTTCCACCTTAGGACCTCCCCCTAAGAAGGCACCTGGGCCTCTCCTGGTAGCCAGACTCATTATGAAGGGAAGCCTATTCTTGATTGTAGACTTTTTAAGGGAAAGTTACAGTACTTAGTGCAGAGGAAAGGATACCCTTTGACTGAAGCCACTTGGGTAAAATCTAGTGATGTAAAAGCCGACAGGCTCATTCATAAATTCTGTGAGAAACACCCTAACAAACCAAGGGGCGACCCCTAACCTATGATTTTGTTTGAATTGCAGGATTTGTCCTTTTTGTAAGGCCCTCCCCCCCACCGGATGTCAAGGCTGCTAACATTGGATGTTCCCCCTCTGACAACTGATGAAAATGCAGCCATTTTCTCTATTCCTTTAATAGGCTTTTCTTACCTTTAGAAATCAGGTGCATGGGGGGAGGGGGGGATGTAAGCTCAGCTAGCCATAATAATAAGGCTGCTGTGGGAACCCAAGGAGAAGCTGATAAGGTTTTGGCGGGCTGAGGAGCTGAGGCGAATGTCCGGGCTTTAAGCTAATTGGGGAAGCTAATTGAGGAGGAGGAGGAGGAGGAGGAGGAGGAGGTGAGTAAGAATGCCCGTGTTGAGTCAGAGGCGGTGGGGTTCCCGAGAAGAAATGCCCCCCCGCCCCCCTTGCTGCCCAAGTGCTGCTCAGCGCTCGCAGCAGGACCAGCGATTTCGCAGAAGCCTCCGCCCCTCGGACGGGGATCCTGCCCCTCCCAGCCGCTGGGGGTGGTGGAGGGAGGCGGCAGCTGAAAGGGGGGGGTGCGAGCGGGGCTTTATAAGGGGCGTCCCGCCTGGGGCTGGCACGTCTAGATTCCTGGAGACCACCATGGCGATTGGCCTGGCAGCTCTGGGGCTCCTCGCTTTCCTGCTCGGCTGCTCGGGAACCTTTGCCGAACCCCAAAACCTGGAGTCAGCCGCCAAGGTCAGATGCGGGGTGGGAGGCGGAGGGTGCCAGCCGCCCGTGTGGAAAGCCCCCCCACACACACCAGCCTCAGCTCGGGTGGGCGGCAGGAGCAGCTGGTGGGAGCCGGCGGGCTGCGCAGAGGGTGCCGCTTCCTCGGGGTTGATCACATCCGATGCCGTCGGACTGAGCGCCAGAGGCTCTGGGTCCCCGACGGCCGACCGGTCAAACGTTTTCTCCTCCGTGCTCGTCCGCGACTTAGGCAGCCTCCCGCCGGGGCTGGTGCTCTCAATCGCTGAGGAGATGGCAGAGCGATCCGCCCGCGGGGTGTCGCCCGGACGCGGTCTGGCAGGCGCCTCGACCGACGTATTTTGGGATGGGCTGCCTTTGCCAGACCCACGCGGCGTGGGCATCCCCGGGGGTGTTTTCAGATCCCCCGGAGAGAACGGAGTCAGAGTCTCTACCTGTTGGACAGCTGGGCTTGGCTATCACCCTGACAGGCTTTCCTCCCCCCTCCCGCTCTTTTTTAGTGCTCCCTGACCGGCACCTGGAAGAGTGCTTTGGGCAACATCATGGAGATCGACAGCGTCAGTGACACGGGGGTGTTCAGCGGCACCTTCTATATCTGTACGGTACCATTGCGGTTCTCCAGCAAGCCCGTCCCGCCATCCCCGCTGCAGGGCATCCAGCACCTGGACTCGCAGCCCACCTTTGGCTTCACCGTCAGCTTGAGCTTCGTTGGTAGAGCCAGTCACTCTTTGGTGTGGAAGCAAATAGAACGGGAGGAGGGAATCTAGTGGATCGCCCCTTCCTTAGATCTGCCTCTTGCAGATTCTTTCACTGAATGTCCTCCCTCCTCCCCCCCCCCATCAGATGGAGATGCCCAAATATTTTGGAGCCTATAAAACATTCCCAATCTAAAGGTAGCATCGGTGAGCGGGGGGGGGGGGTGTCTTTATGCGAAATATATCCCCCCCCTAATTGGTACAACTTTGATCTGACAGAAATGACCATCGTCTTTGCGGGCCAGTGTCTGGTGGACAAGAACGGAAAGGAGCAGCTGAGGACAAACTGGGTATTTCAGGACTTCGTGGAATCCCCAGAAGAGGATTGGGAGGAGACCACGTAAGGAAACGCAGGGGCTGAACTGCTGCGGCCCCTAACTGGAAGGGCCCTGAGCACCTCTTCTTTTTCTCTCTCTTCCACCCCCCAAAGGGGCTCTTGCAAGGGCGCCCCAGTGGTTGGCCTCTCTCGGGGCAGCTCCTGCGGGAGAGGCTGGCATTTTGAGTCTAGGAGACTCTGTTTCGTCCACTTCCCCCACAAAGAAAGGCAGCAAAGCTTTTGAGCAGCTTCCCCAGGTCCTTCTCACTGACAAGTGTGGTTTGGGTGGCACCACTGTCTGGGTTGCCCACAGCTGGCAACACTTGGAGAGTTGGCATTAATTGCTCTACTCAAATCGGAGAGCAGTAGCCCAGCACAGCCCCATATTTTTTATGGGGCAAAGGGGCCACCTGGGTTCCTTCCCTGAGGGAGCGCAAGGCCTGCTTCCCTCCAAAGAGGCCACTTTTGCGGCCACCTGGATGGAGCTGCTTGATGGGAAGCCCCCAAAGACCTAGGAGAATTTGCCCAATTGGGTCTTGTCATTCCCCCGGGCCTGGCCGCCTCTGAGAACCAGAAGTGTCCATTTCCTTTGCCCTCCCTTTTCATTCTCACGTGCCTGGGTGGGAGGAGGGAATGGGGTGGGGGATGGGATGCTCAGCCTGGGGGTGGGGGGAGACATCAATCATGCTGCCATGAATTTTGACATTTCCCACCCTCCTGTTTCACTCTAGGGTTCAAAGGAGCACCTTCTACCGCACAGAGTGATGGTGAAGAGAGCAAGGCTTCCCCGTTTCTCACTTGGGGGGCCATGGGCTGGGGTGACCCTTCCTGCCTCTCCCATCAGACGCTCTTCTCCAATAAAATGTTTGCCTGAGCAGCCTCCGCCTCCCTGGTCTTTCAGAAGCTCCCTGGGTGCCAGTCTGCAGGTTTCCAGGAAAGGCTGGGTAGGACCCCCATCTGGAGTATGGGCTCTGGGGTAAAAGCTTTGTTTCTACTACTGCTCTACTACTGTTCTGCACTTTACTCAACCTTTGCCCTTGAAGACTTTGGGAACCTGCAGCCAATCCATTCAGGATCTGGCCTATTAATTTATTGGGAAATTATTAAAGGGTTTTGCAAAGGAGCCATGAATTAGCTTCACCCAGAGCTGGTCCATCCTAATCACTTGGCCCAAGCTTTGATTGACAGAGTCATCCTTAGAACCAGCACTTAGCTAGAACCTATTTCTACACTTACCTGAAGAAGCCAAAGAGGCTGGCCACCAACGGTTCTGCAAGAGTGATAAAGGGGGAGGGGCAATAATCCAGGCATCCTGGTCCTCCCTTACTGACAACTTCATTTAGTGGAAGAAAGAGCAAGAGGAAATGCTATCCTGGAGCTAACCAAGAATCCCAGGCCGAGTTCAGCATATCGGAGCTCCCTCTGGACCGGTCTCTGCTGCCCTCCCCAGGCTGGTCTCCTTTCCCCAAAGCTTCACAGAGCTGCTGTGGTGCGCGGGGCAGGGCTGGTCCTCCCGAGCCTCCTCGTTCCTGTGGGTGCCGTCTGTGCCCCAGCAGGGGCTGAATTCGGAAGGGGGATACTGGGTTCCGGAGGCCGGAAGAGAGGCAGGAGGAGTGGAGCAGTAGCGCCATGTGGGAAGTCAGCCCCCCCCCCCAGAAAGATAGTAAAGGGAGTTTTGAGTTTGAGCTCAAGGGCTGCTTTGGAAAGATGAGTACCTCTTTTTTTTTTTATTAAAAGTTTTAAATAATTTTCCATACAATATCCCACTTCCCTCCCACCCCTCCCCCCTTCTTTTCCCAGAGCTGATTACAGGGTTATAAAAACAAAATCGTAAATCATAAGTTAAATAACATTACCCAACTATCCTACAATCATATCCAATGCAAACATACTTTAACTCTACAAAATAGATAAATATTAACACTTTATCAACAAAATGATAATATAATTAATAATAATATAATTAAACATTGTAACTAAAAATAACATAAATTCATACATAATAAACTACTCATAAGCTAAATGACACTTTTCAATCTCATATTTTTTCTGAATATAATCCATCCATCTTCTCCAAACCAAATTATATTTTTCTTGAGATTGATCCTTCAAATAAGCGGAAATTTTTGCCATTTCTGCCAAATTAGACACTTTAATTCTCCATTCTTCCATAGTAGGCAAGGAATTTTTCTTCCAATATTGCGCTACCAATAATCTTGCAGCTGTTATAAGATTCAACATCAAATTCGTTTCTTTAACATCTAAACCTTCCATAATACCCAGCAGAAATAACTGCGGTGTAAACTTATCTTTTTCTTAAAAATATTTTGAATATTCCACCAAATCTTAATCCAAAATGCTTTTATATCCCTACACATCCACCAAATATGAAAATATGTTGCATCTAAACTTCCACATCTCCAGCATTTAGGCTGTAAATTAGGGTACATACAAGACAATTTCTGGGGATCCAAATGCCACCTATAAAATTTTCTCAGAATCCAATTCTATCAAGGCATTATAAATTCTCTTTATGTGGGCTCGAGTTTGATCTTTAATCTGTTTTATCAAATTCACATCCTGCGAAGTAATACCAACTTTTTGATCTAAACTCCACCTCATCAACAATTGATTGTAATGAAACCAGGAATGTAGAATATTTTCATGCTTCAAATCTACTAAGGATTTAATTTGCCTAACCTGTCCTACTAAACTAAGTAATTCCTTGTAAGAAGTTCTATCCAAGTTAACTCCTCTGGATACCCCATCTATCGCCTGTCCTGGAATCGCCCAAATAGGAATTTTATAATTTAATCTATAATAATATTTCTTCCAAACTCGTAGTACAGCACTTCTTAAAATGAGCTTTAAAAACTTGATCTACTTTCTTATTATAAATTAAATATGCATGCCAACCAAATAATAGGTCCCATCCCTCCAAAAGAAGTATATTTTTGTTTGTTGAATTAAGCCAATCACTAATCAATGTCAAAGCCACCGCATCATAATACAATTTTAGATTCGGCGCCTTAAGTCCTCCTCTTTCCCGTGCATCTTGTATGATCTTAAACCTGACTCTTGGTTTCTTCCCCGCCCATATAAACTTATTAATCCCCTTCTGCCATTCATCCAAATTAGCATCTTTTTTCAAAATAGGTATCATTTGAAACAAAAAAAGAAACTTTGGAAGAATATTCATCTTCACTGCTGAGATTCTCCCCAGCAGAGATAATTGTAGTTTTTTCCAATCATTTAAATCCTTTTGCACTTTTACCCATAATGTCTCATAATTGTTTTTATACAATTTAACGTTAGAAGCTGTAATATAAACTCCCAAGTATTTTACCTTTCTCACTATTTCAAAGCCTGTTGACTTAACTAACATATCTTTGTCCTTCATAGACATATTTTTCGGTAATATTTTAGTCTTGTAATTATTTACCTTGAAACCAGAAACTTTCCCATACTGGGCTATAATTTCCACCAAGTCCCTTACCGACTCTGTCGGTTGAGCCAATGTCAGCACCAAGTCATCAGCAAAAGCTCTTAACCTATAATCATTCTTGTTTACATTTATTCCCTTTATTATAGGTGATTTGCGAATTTTAATTAATAAAATCTCCATTGTTAAAACAAATAGCAATGGGAATAATGGGCATCCCTGCCTTGTACCCTTCTCAATTTTAAGTGCCTCTGTTAACCCCCCATTGACTATGACTTGTGCCGATTGTTGTTGATAAATAGCCTTAAGAGCAACCAAAATTTTTTCCCCAAAGTTCATTTCCTCTATGACTCGCAATAAAAACTGCCAATCTAGTTGGTCAAACGCTTTTTCTGCATCCAAAAATATCAAAGCCGCAGGGATTTGATTATTCTTATCCAAGTATTCAATTAAGTTAACAATTTGTCTTACATTATACTTCATATATCTTCCAGTTATAAATCCAGATTGATCACTATGAATCAATTGCTTCAACACTTGCATTAATCTGTTTGCCAATATTTTTGAAAAATTTTTATAATCTATATTCAATAAAGATATATGTCTACAATTCTTGGGCTGAGTCAAATCCTGACCTTCCTTTGGGATCAGCGATATGAAAGCCCTTCTCCAAGATGGGGGTACCTCTGCACCCAACAAAATACTATTAAACAATTCCTTTAATGATTCTATCATTTCTTCAGATAACATTTTATAATAAATTGCTGTTAATCCATCAGTACCGGGAGCCTTACCAACCTTTAATTGCTTAATTACCCCAATAATTTCCTCTGAAGTAATTAGACAATTCATCCCTTTGATCATTTGATAATCTAGGAAAATGTGCCTGCTGTAAATAATTCTCTATTTCTAAAGGTTGTATATTTTCAAAAGCATATGATTTTGAATAAAAATCTAGAAAGCTCCTTTTAAGCAAGTTTTGTTGATATGTCACTTTGCCTTTATAATCTATTTTCTCTATAATTCTTGATTTCTGCTTCTTTCGTAATTGGTAGGCCAACCACCTACCTGGTTTGTTTGCATTACAAAATGTGTTATATTTCATATATCGCAAATTAGTTGCAATCTGATCAGCCACTAACATATTAAATTGTTCCCTAAGCATAGTTATGGATACCTTTAACTTGTTATCCTGTGGATTTAAAATAAAGGCCTTCTCTTTTAATTTAATCTCCTCTTCTAGCTCTCTTCATTTTTGCATCTGTTTTCGCCTATAAGCACTATTCATATAAATCAGAGCACCTCTCATATACGCTTTGCTAGCATCCCAGACCATTGAAATTGGGGTGCCCTTATGCATATTCAACAAAAAAAATTCTTTCAAATGATCTCTACATTTCTGCAAATTCCCCTCATATCTAAATAAATTTTCATTTAATCTCCAAATCCTTCTATTCCCATCTTCAGCAAATAGTTCCATCCAAACAGGACTATGATCTGAGAATATTCTAGGAAAAATCTTGATATTCTTCACCCTAGAAAAGAAATCATTAGTAATTAAAAAGAAATCAATTCTGGAATATGATTGGTGCCTGTCCAAGAAGAAGGTAAAGTCTCTTTCTTCCATATTTTGTTCTTGCCAAATATCTCTTAATTCCAAATCATCCTTCAAGTCAAAATTTTTTTTAGGTAATATAGAATAATTAGAAACTTTGGAGGAACCTTTCTTGTCTTTGCTTGAATCTAAAACTCCATTCCAGTCCCCCATCATAATAACAGATTTATAATCCACTTGAATTAATTTCTGATGTATCAATTTGTAAAATTGTTTTTGTTGTTGATTTGGAGCATATAATCCAATGATAAGACATCTCTTTCCATTCAATAGTAACTCAATGATAACATATCTTCCTTCTAAGTCAAAGTCAATTAATTTCGGCGATAACTCTTTCTTCACATAAATAACTACACCTCCTTTTTTCTGCGGAGCAGGAGCTATAAAATGTAATCCCAAACGGGAGTTAATCAAATACTTTTGATCCTTTAAAGTGATATGAGTTTCTTGCAAACACACAACATCATTCTTATGTTGTTTCAGATAATGAAATATTTTCTTTCTTTTCTGCGGTGAATTCAAACCATTAACATTCCATGTCAGGAACCTTACCATTCTTGGTAAGATGGAGCCTCTGGAACATTCCTTGAAGATCAGCGGTCACTGATCTCTTCGGTCTTGTACCTCCCACTGGCTCTGAAGTAATCTGATGCATTATAGGTACAGTATCCACCTTTTGCTGTTCTTTTTCTTTACGTCTATGAACTG